TTTTGTCATGCCCTAGCCTATCTACCATAAGAATATGAGCGAAATCGAATTTTCGACCCTTGCCGCGAAATTAAGAATTTGCCTGATTTTTACAGGCAGGCACTCTTGAAACATAGCCTAGTACAATAGACCTCAGTACGAGGCTCTGGGTAATAACTACAGAGTTTGTGGCGTTTATTCCCCAGAGCCTCGTGCTGAGGTCTATTATGTTAGGCTGAATTTTAAGAGATCGAAATTGGTTTATTTTTCTCTCGATGTAAACCTGAATCTACGACAATCAATCGCCTTTCTATATGACGCATTTTATTATCAACCCTTAATTTTCAAATGTCACTACCCAAGATCTACTGAACCTTGTGAACTTGATAAGTAGTCATAGCAACAGTTTTCAAAGGGTTGCTCTCTAAGTTAGCATGTTTCGTTTCCTGCTGATGTTGTAGACAGCTGCACTGACATCAAGTCCATTGGTAAACCTATCACTCACAACGCTCGCTGGCTCCATTACGGAGCTTGGATGAAAGACCCGCTGGGAATCATGGGCACTGAGACCATCTTCACAATGGAAAATTATTATTCAAACCTGGTTGAAGAGTTTGAAAACATGGCCAAGTTTAAAGCAGGTTTGCCTCGTAAGACGTACAAATTGCCTTACTACTGGGACGGAACTGGAGCAGTGGTATACGGACCATATCTCTACTTTAACAGGTAAGATTTTTTAATGTAACGTGAATACTTACATAAACTATCAGATTAAGTTTTAAAACAACACTGTCATCTATAAAACTTTATGGCTGATCAGAGAAGATTTTTGGGAGCCAGGATGGCGCAGTGGTGAGAGTGCAGGCCTACCACCAATGTGGCCCGGGCTCGATTCCGTCCCGCTGCCATATGTAGGTGAGTTTGTTGTTGGTTTTTGCCTTGCTTGAAGGTTTTTATTCCGGGTTCTCCTGTTTTCCTCCCTCCACAAAAACCAACATCTCCAAATTCTGATTCAACCAGGATAGAAGACCCGCATGAAAACTAA